ACGCGGTGAGTCTGGCGAGATTTATCAGAACATAACACAGATAGCAAGACAGAAAGAATGCAAGTATCTGAGCATGACGAGGACAGCTAAAATCCAGGTTAAGCCCAGTGCTAGGCAAAAGTCACAAGAAAATAAGGATGTGTTAGGGAGGATAAAGGTGACAAAGAAAATTATTAACAGAACCAGAAGCCACGTTTACTCCCGTTAACACTCTTAGAATGACAGTTAGATACACTAGTTATGTTGGGAGTAGGGACAGTTATGACTTTACCCAAACCCAGGGCTGGACTGGTAATCTTGCATACGCATAAGTTTCGTCAGGAAGAAGTGGCGGAGAGGTGGAGCTGGAAAACAAAATGAAAACAATCAAAAGAAACTAAAAATCGGTGCAGCTAATTGTAGTACTAGCAAGAACTAGTAACAAAGCTTTGTGGAGAAGTGAGAAAGAAATCAAGGAATGTGTAATTCACAGGGTAAGACAACGATGAAGGGACACAATGGGATTAAAAAAAATGCTAGGACCAATTTTCTGACCCAGTCCAACCCTGACCAAAACACATGAACATCCGAATCTAGAAACAAACTTTGAAGCTGTTTGACACTTATCCCAAACATGTTACATGTTTCTAATTTACAAACTAAAGGACAATTACTACAGCTATAAAAAGCATCAACTTTCCCCACATTTCTTAAATGTGCCCCCTTGTGCAGTAGTGAGACATGCAAGCAGCTTTTGCACATTATCATTTGATGCACCAAAAATGTAAAAAGGCCGGTGTTCACACCTTCACAGTGGTTTTGGGGAGAAGGATAAGAGTGTTTAAAAAGATTATTTGAGCACTTCCCAGTAAAGAGTAGATATTTTTTACAAATAATTAAAAAAAACATTAAAGTTATAAAAGAATAAAAGAAATAAAAGATATAAATATGTATGTATGTGCTGGAAAACATGTAATAACTTTTTTGTTGATTTACAGCATATGAACTTCGGATTCTGGTTTTTGGAAAGACTCAAAGTAAAAAATCAATTCTAACCAACTTCATCACTGGGAAAAAAGATTTGACTGGGGATCTTCTGCAAAAGGTGTCCCCATCCACTACAGTCACTCAAGGACAGTATAGGAAAACACGCCTAACAATAGTGAAAACTTCAGATGTCTTCAGTTTAGCTGGAGAGAAGGTGAAGCATGAAATGAAGAAGTGTGTGGCTCTTTGCCCCCCTGGACCAAATGTTCTGCTCCTGTTAGTAAAGCCTTCTGAATTCAGTGAAGAAGACAGACAAAAACTAAAGCTCATCCTAAGATTCTTTGGTCAAGATGCTTTTAAATATGCAATGGTCATTTTGACACATAGTGAGGAGAAAACAACTTCAGCTGTGGATCGACTCATACAGGACTGTAGACAAAGGCAGCAGAGAATCAACTTTGACAAAAAAGATCTGCCAGAAAAGGATCTTCAAGAACTTGTGGAAAAGATGGAGAGCATAGTGAATGAAAACAGAGGAGGCTATCTAAACAGAGGTGAAGAAGCTGACACCACAACTTTTAAACCGCCTCTTAACCTGGTATTGTGTGGGACATATGAAGTTCTGAAGAGTTCAGCAGCCAATGCCATTGTAGGAAAACACCAGTTTGGTAAACCTGCTGACTCCTCAGAATGTGTTAAGATGGAGACACAGGTGTGTGGACGTTTAGTGTCCCTGGTGGAGATGCCTGCTTTGTATGGAAAATCTCCTGAGGCAATAAAGAGCTGCAAAAAGCAATGTGTTTCTCTCTGGAATCCCGAAGGTGTCCATGCCTTTATCCTGGTCCTTCCTGTGGGACCCCTCAGTGACGAAAACAAGCGAGAGTTAGAGATCATCCAGAATGAATTTGGATCTCAGGTCATCAACTTCACCATGATTCTTTTTGCAGTGGAATCAGATCCCACAGTTCCAGTTGTTGTCAACTTTATTAGTGAAAACAGAACCATCCAGGAGCTCTGTCAGAGGTGTGGAGGACGAAACATCATCTTCAACATCAAAGACAAGCAGCAGGTCTCTGAGGTGTTGCACACTGTGGAGAAGATGACAGCTATGGGATCTAAGTGCTTCACAAGACAAATGCTTGTTAAGCCTCGATTGATTAAACTCAAAGGAAACCCTTCACAGAAGACAGAATCCTTTGATAATCCCAACCACAGCCCAGATGCTCTCCGGATAGTGATGATTGGGAAGACTGGCTGTGGGAAGAGTGCAACTGGAAACACCATTTTAGGCCAAAAATGCTTTTATTCTAAAGCCTGCATGAAGTCAGTGACAGAGGTTTGCAAAAAAGCAAAAGGAGTGGTCAATGGCCATCCAGTTGCTGTGGTCGACACACCAGGCTTGTACGACACGACTCTGTCCAACCATGAAGTCAAACAGGAGCTTGTGAAATGCATCAGCTTGTTGTCTCCAGGACCTCACGCGTTCTTACTGGTAGTGCAGATTGGTCGATTTACCAAAGAAGAAAAAGACACAGTAGAGCTCATCAAGGAGTTTTTTGGCAAGAAATCAGAAGACTTCATTATTGTTATATTCACCAGAGGAGATGATCTTCAAGATCAAACAATAGAGAGTTACATGGAAGAAGTCAGCGATGACTTTGTTAAAAAACTGATTGGCGACTGTGGAGGAAGATACCATGTTTTCAACAACAGAGATCAAAATAATCATTCACAAGTCGCAGAGCTTTTAGACAAAGTACAAACAATGGTGAAGAAAAATGGTGGCAGCTGCTACACTACAGAGATGTTCCAAGAAGCTGAGGCAGCCATACAAAAGGAAATGAAGAGGATCCTAAAAGAGAAAGAAGCAGATATGGAGAAAGAGATGGAAGAACTTCAAAGGAAACGCGATGAAGAAATTCAGGCGAAAAAGAAACAAATTGATCAAGAAAGAGCAGAAAAAGAAGAAGTACTGAAGGAGAAGGAAGAACTGATTAACCAGGAACAAGAGAAGACAAAGAGAGAGGAGGAAAAGAGAGAACAGGAGACCATAGCATCAATAAGATATGAAGAAAAACTCCGAATGCAGTGGGAAGAAAAACTTGAAGCTCTTGAGCAGAAAATAAAATCAGAATGTGAAAAAAATGTGCATGCTGACAGAAAGCTGATGGAAAACCGAGAAGAGATGAAATTAGAACGCGAAGCTTGGGAAAAAGAACGCAAAGAATGGTGGGAGAAACGAAATCAAGAAGACAAACAGAGAAAAGAGGAGGAACAAGCGCTGCTTATAAAGCTCAAGGAAGAATATGATAAGGAAAGAAATGAATATGAAAGCAAAATAAAAGAACAAGATAGACTCAGGAGAGAACAAGAGGAGAGAGACTGGAAATTAGCGCAGGATATCTATGAGGCAAAAGTCAAGGAAATGAAGAAGAAAATTGCAGAAGAAGCCAGAAAGCAAGCAGAAGAATTCAATGAGTTCAGACAGAAATATTCAGTAGATTTTGCAGCGTTGAGAGCAAAGCATGACTGTGAGATGGAAGACATGAAGCAAAAACAACAAAAAAGCAACGCCATCATACTTAAACATCTGCTCATGAAGAGAGAATACAAGAGAGACTTTGAGAGACTGAAGAAAAAACAGGAACAAGAAATAGATGAGCTGAATTACAATCTTTCTATAGGAAATGAGGGCGAGCCAAATGAAGAAGATATCAACCAACTACAGCTAGAACATGATAAACAAATCAATGACTGGATAGAAGAATGTGTACAGAAAGCTGACGGAGATAAGTCTTGCACCATTTTATGAAACGGGCTCTTTTACCTGAATGTCAGTTTGATTAAACTTTGATAGCTTTTGGTTTTAAAGCTTTTAATAAACAAATACTTTTGTTATAGCTGCATGATAGATGACACTTATAGTTCCATATAACATAATATACTCAAATTATTACAAATTGATTCATTTGTTCTAAAATCCCTGTCAATCTTTTTTTTTCTTTTTTTTTTAACTGCAGAAAATGTTGCCTGCTAAGTAAAAACATGAATGAATGTAAACTAATCATATAAATCAGTTAGGTAAAAATCTAATTTAATTTGCATCATGCCATTTTACTGCAGGAATTAATGCATATTTTTCCACTTAAAAACAATCACTGGTGTCAATAATCTCACGAAAAGCACAAAATGTCTTTGGCTCAGATGTGTTTGTTATTTACAGAAAACACTTTATTGCACTATATAACCATTTTTTGGCACTGCTTGTCTCTTTTTTCAGAATGATAAAAATGTTTCGGTTCCTGATTGTTTTTTTTTTTTATAAAATACTTATTGCATCTGATAAGTAGTCTGTGTAGAGATACATTAAAATGTAAGCTTCATATTTTGGACAAAAGCCAGTTGATGTTCTTATCGTTAATTTTGATGATCACTTTATCACCAAAAATAATTCTGATTCAATACGGGACAATGAATAAGTACTACTGTTGGGAAATATCACTGTAAACTTTAAATAAAAGCAACCATTAGCTGAAGACTCTTTACGGATATTGATTGATAGGAAAAAAAGACTGTTGTAATCTAACTTTAAAGCGAAGGAAATGTAACAAAGTATAGGCAACCTAAGCATGGAACCGCACTTCATAGTGAAATACAAACCATATTTGTTGAAAAGCTTGATTTAATTTGTTTCTTCAATTTTGAATCTTTGAAATAAGGGAATATGTCCTGCCTTTATTCAAAAGGTCTTTTCATATTTAAACCCAGTTTCAGAAAATTCATTTCACAGACTTTATAGGGTAGACATCATCTTTTAGACCGTAACAAATAATCTACACACCTGACAGTTACGCCACATTCTTTAAACGTACATGTACATAGGAAGAACAGTGACAGTTCTCAATTATAATAATGTGAGTGTTTGAGGTGGAAACACCACTGTTGGAATAACACAGCTTGTACTAATGCCGTGAGCTCTTTAGGACAAGAAATTATTTAAAAAACTTGTAAAGGTAGACTCCATGGTTTGCTGCTTGATTTCATATACCTGTGGCAATCATGCAGAAATAAATAACCAAATTCAAAAATTAAGAACTGTAGCCCATTGATTTTGTCCCTAAAGCATATACAGGTTTTGATTCTGTGGTTATGACTCAGCAGTTTTTACTCATTCACTCATTCACACAAACCGCTTTTTCTATGTAAGTCTATTAACCGCATCTTAATTTAAACCCACTGTCAGTTTTTTGATAATGGACCAAAATCCACGCATTTCTGTGTTTTCAACTAGTTAAGCCAACTAGTTAAGGCAATGTGCCCTTTGCCACCATTTGCTCCTTGCCCTGCATAGCAAGGGATATCCTTGCCATCACATCTTGTGAACATTTTCTACATGTAGATCAGGATGATTAGCTCAACTTGATATTTATCACTGACAATGATTAGATCTTTGGGTGTCCTGTACGTGCCTGGTTAATCCAAGTGGAAAAACAGCCCAATAATAACAAAACAACTAATGCGGATTCTTGCTTAGATTAGACATAAAACCACCTGAGACTTGTATGACCTTTTTCTGTTGTTGAAGGTTCAGACAATGCATGGAGCTTGCGCAGTTGCAACAGAGCATAAAGAATCCAGGGAATGCTCAGTGTTTGGTCATTTATCAGTAACTGTATCAGACATCACCTTTACTCTGTTGTCAACTATAAACTGAGGATTCTCTTCCAATTTACACACAGTACAGAAACTTCAGCAGGGGTTTGAGTGGTCACTTGCGAAACCATCATGCCAAAAAAAAGAAATCAATTTAGACTTGAAGCAAAAAGATTTTCATGCAGTCTGTATAGGATCTCAGTCATTAAGGTCATGGTCAAAAGAGTGTAAAGTAAAGTTATTGTCTTTTTTAAGGGGACAGCACTTAGCCACTGGTATAGATATGTGGATGGCACCTGGGTCAAAATCAAAACCCAAGGAGGAGTAGCCTTCATGGTTCAAATCAACTCGTTGGAAAGAATAATATTTTGCCATTTCTAGACTGTGCATAGCACATTGAGGAGAATAGAAACTGGTGAAAAAAGTCAGAATTCTGACTTTTTTTCTCAGAAGCAGAAGGACACCTAGTATACTCCTCCATCTTTGTTTCATCACAACATTCTGTAGTGGGATACTGAACTTTCTACCAAACAGACCCCAGACTGTAAGGATGGACAACCAAACATCCTCCACCCTGTCTCTGAGCATAGGTGTTATTCAAGGTTATGTGCCGAGTCATGTTTTATACATTATTGCATGACTGTATGCTAATCCACCTGTCCAACTTTATTATTAAATTTGTTGATGACACCACAGTGGTAGGCAGAATATCTAATAGCAAATGCACTCAGAAAGTGCAACTCCACCAAAGGACAGGCTCACCGTAGTTCGACACACAAGATGTTATCATGTGACTGGAAACATAATCTATTCTGCTTTCAGCAGATGTTTGTATTTTATGAGAAGTTTGAATTGTTTGGTTATTTTATTTCTGTCACTATAAGTAACAAAAAGGTCTTTGACAAACACATATCTAAACACGCTGTAAACATTTAATATTATATTGAGAACTCGTGCAAAAAGTCAAAGATTTAGAATGAAATGAGCTCACTTTAGACAAGCTTTTTAAAAGTAACGCCCTGTGCAGGAGGAGCTTCAACCAGCAGTTGAAACACCGCCTCCAGATTTTGTTTTCTTTTCTGATCTGCATCTTTTTCTTTCTCTTTTACTTTATGTGCTATAAGGACTGCTACAACAATCTTCACCTGGTGAGTTCTTTAAGATAAAAACAAAACAAAACACAGTAAATCTAAGCAGGAAATACTATATATGCATATATAACTATGTTATAGTAGAATGTTTGACTAGATGAAATGTGCTAACTGGAAAAGGAATATACATATTTCTAATTGGGGGGGGG